GGTGCACACTAAACCTTCGGAGTACTTCCAAACTCTTACCTTCACAGCCCCACTATTTGTTAAGGGATGGTGGCCCAGGGCCCTTATTATCCTGCCCACCCTCTGTGAAAAGGCATTACACATGTGGTACAACACTAACCTCCCGGTCTTCTGCAAAGCTAGAAAGTTTAGGTAAGACATTCATAAGCACCTAAAGAGAGAGAGGGGAGCTCAGATGAGCCTGGTACAAAGACCAGATGCCTCTGTGAAATCTTGGGGGTATTATGGTCAAGATGCATTACTTGACACTTGACAAAATTAGTTTTAAAATTCTGCCGAAGTCTGTGTCAGTAAATACAAGAGAGCCGCAGGTGTCCTTGAATGCAAGGATGATGGATTTGCATACACCCCCCCCCCGCCTTACCCAAGTTGCTAGTTTGCTTGATAAAGAGGGGAGCTACCCAGTGAAAAGGCAGAAAGGGTCAAGAGGCTTTGGACCAGACTAAGACCCCTGCAGGACAGACTAAACTGTGTGCCCCATTACCTCAGTGGACACAACAGATGTGGAGGGAACACATGCATAAGTCAGCTTGTTCCCTTACAGGACTGACATGTAGTCTGTAGAGGGGCTAGTCCCATTGCTTTGGGGTGCAAGTATGCCCTCATCTTTGTGAACACAGCTGTGGGCCCCTTACATACGTCCCTATGCCAAAGAACAGCCACCGTCAAGGGTTTCATTCAGTTCAGGGTTATGTGGAAAATTGATTGTGACAAGGTGGGTTAGTTAGGATTTCTACTGTTGTGGAAAGACACCACGAGGAAAGCAACTCTTACAGAGGAAAATATTTCACTGGGGCTGGCTTACACTTCACAGGGTTAGTCCATTATCATTATGGTGGGAAGCATAGTAGCACGCAGGCAGAATTCTACATCTAGAGCCACAGGTAACAGGAAGAGACAGTGAGCCACTCAGCCTGGCTTAGGCTTCTGAAACCTCAAAGCCCTCCACCTGTGACACACTTCCTCCAACAAGGCCACACCTCCAGTAATGCCACTCCCAAGGGGAGACATTTTCATTCAAATCACCACACTCCACTCTCTGGCTCCACAGGCTCATGGCCATATCGTAATGCAAAATGCATTTAGTCCAACTTCGAAAGTCCTCATAGCCTATACCAGTCTCAACCCTGGTCAAAAGTCATGGCAGTCCCCTAACTATAACCCCTATAAATTCAAAATAAGAAAGCAGATCACATACTGGCAACATTACTGTTACAAAAGGGAGGAAAAAGAGCATAGTGAGGAAATACTGGACCAAAGCAAGACCAAAAACCAGCTGGGCAAACTCTGAACTCTGCATCTCCATATCGGATGTCAAAACACTCTTTGGATCTCCAACTCCTTTCAGCTTTGTTGACTGCAACATACTTCTTTGTCTCGAGCTGGTTCCACACTGTTAGCAACTTTCCTCTCAGGTACCCCATGACTCTGGGGTCTCTAACATCTTGGAGTCCCCGACACAATTCAAGTTTCAACTTTACATCTTCACACAATGACTTCTATTGACCTCCATTCAGGGACATCCCTGACATGCCCCCTGACCTCAGCAGCTTTCCTTAATTGCAGAGGAAAATTCCATAATCTCTTTCTTGTATCCTGGACCCTAAGGCCAAAGCAATGTGTCTGAAGCTGCCAAGTTTCTCTGCTGGCTGGGGCTGGACCATGACCCCCTTCTCCAAATATATTTTAATCAGCTTTCTGTTTTCAATGATTTCCTTCACTACCTAAGTTTGGCTGTCCTACAACTTGCTCTGCAAACCAAGCTGGCCTTGAACTCAAAGATCTGCCAGCCTCTGCCTTCCAAGTGCTGGGATTAAAGGTTTGCACCTGCCATGCCTGACCTTAAACTTTATCAAACAAGAGCAAAAGACAGCCACATTCTTCATCTAAGTATCCTAAGAACAATCTATAGACCATATTTTAACATTCTTCTTCTCTGAAATATCTTAAGCAGGCAGACATGGTGTTGGACAGGTATCTAAGAGTTCCACATCTGTTTCAGTAGGCAGTAGGAAGAGACAGTGACTTGGGCCAATCCCTAAGAGTCTATGGGGGCCATTTTCACTCAACCCACTGTAAGAAGCTGTGTTTTCGAGGCTGCAGTTGGAGCAGTTTGAGGTTTGTACCTGAGAGGGGGAGTGTGGACTAAAGACAGGCTAACTATAGATGGTAAAGGAAAGAAGGGAGCTACAGAATGGAATCAGGAGGGCAGATTCAGTTAATACTGAATTGCCACAAGTTTATTTTTCACCACTCTTATACTCCTTAACCAAAAGGGGTACACAGTATCATGTATACAGAGCAGACAGACGCTTCTTCCTCTTCACTCCAAGGGTTCAGTAACCACACCTTAGATTCAACTTCTTGTTCCCTGGCCTTAAGGGTCAGAAGTAACCACACCTCAGACCAGGTCTGTTGATATTCATAATAAGACAGCCAAAGCCAAGATCCAACATCCTACTGTAGTCACACCTTTGACCTTTAGGTCGTAACGACATGCTGAGGACAGTTTTGAACTCTGTGCCCTTGAGCCAGAATGGAGAGGAGCCATCTTAGGGGCACCAACAACCCACCACACAGGTGTTAGTTAGGTCAGATTTGCAGAACTCCAGTAAAGACAACCAGATACAATGGTATTTCTACCTAACATACAAGCCCCTAGAGCCTGGTTAGCTGAAAGAATAAAGAACTGTTAAAGCATCAGTTGATAAAAATGGACACAGTATCAAGCTGCCGTCTAAATCTGTTTCTGTTTCACCATGGATAGTGCAGTTCTTAAGACTTCACTAGACAAAAGTTTCTCAATGCAGTGGATGGCAGTTAACACAGAAACTCACACTGGGTTAAGTTCAGGGAATCGGTGTGCTCAACCAAAATAGGACAGCTGTACCATATCCATCACTGAAGGGGGAGCAGAAAGACTATAAAAGTCAGGGCTGAGCATGGCAGGACCACTGTGGTAATGAACTCACAGCAGCTATGGTTACACGCACAAGACCCCAACAATAACAAGCCAACCAACACTCAGCAATAGAAAGGAAGTGACTCATGAGCCCCAAACTCTAGCTGGAGGCACTGTTGACAGTTGGTGATTCCTGGGGGGAAATGTCAGTTTTAATGAAGGGTGTGGCCCCTGGTAGGTGGACTGCACCCCAGTGGACGGCCCCATATACGTAAGTACATGGGCAGCACAAATTGGACTCAGTGAATTAGCAGCAAAACAAAAGGACGCAAAGAGGAGGTGGGAAGATGATCTAGGAGGAGTGGGGGATAGATGTATCATAAAATATATTGAACGCAAGCATAAAATTCTCAAAGAATTAATTTAAAATAGTGCATATATTTTTTAAAAACTAAGCAGCGGAGGCACCTAAGTATAGGGGGCACCCTGAACCAGTGGGAAAAGGCACCCTTAGAGGCCATGAGCTTGGTAAATAAAAATCCTAGCGTCAAGGAGGTTACTTTGTTACAGGTTGCTAACCAAGCAAGCCCTGAGGACCCACAAAGCATCAGTGCTACTGCTGTTGCTGCCAGCTTCCTGCCACTAGAGAGTAGGACCCTGTTGCTGCAGACGGGACATACTTTGGTTGGAGGACAAGGAGAAATAAAGCAGGGACTGAGCTACAAGAAGGTACTATTCGGGCCGCTGGGAGAGCATTGTCACCGACACTACTGCTTGGCAATGTATATTCTATGTGCTACAATAAAAAAAAGACAGGATGTGTCTGCTTGTGCCACAATGGTACAACTGTCTTGGGAACAATAAACACTCTGGACTACACATCAGTCACATCTGGGGAGGCCATATGTCCTGGTGGGGAAGCAGCTGCTACTATTTTATTAAAAGTATGCGATGTGTCCACCAAACTGTCATCTAAACGTTTGTGCTTATGCCCGTACGCCACTGTTGCTGTCGGTGGAAACGTACCATGGAGGGAAACTTCCTTTTGCAATACGTTGTGCCCCTCAGAGACTCATAACCACTGCTGAAAGTCCTAAGTGACTGTTACTGTGGCCATAGCGGCCCATGCTTAGTCATAGACGAAAGAGATGGAGTGTTGTACAGCTGTGCATTGAGTTCTTCGGATCTGAAACATTCCCTTCAGTGGGGAGGCTCCCGACACTCTGGAGGCAGACAAACTTGTACACATCTAAGAAAGCTGAAACTTGCAAGATTCACACGGCCCCCTCCTTACTGTAGTAGAAGGGAAACGATTGTGGGAGAGAAGACTCTGGCCAGTGGGCTTCCTAGAGGTGATTCCCCAGAATGCCCAAAATCTGTACTGGATGGGCTTTTTTTCAAGGAGGCAGCTGTTCTGGTGCCACTCCTGTTTCTATAAGTAACCCCCAGTAAACACTCACTAGTTAACCAAGTCGGACTTTGGTGCAGTCGTTACTTTGGCCTGCTGTGGGTTCCCTTAGTGCGGGGAATAGACTTGCACCTGTGTGGTGTCTCTCCGGGGGCAGAGCCTCTCACACAACGGAAGCCCAGAGGTAAAGGATAAGGATTTCAGCTATTGGCATAGCTTAGACCTCTTGGCGGTGGTTTCCATAGTTCACATAAAACCACAGCAAGTGTTTGGACTGGTTTTATATGCCAAAATCAAGAGGCACATAAAGGCTTGTTTCTTGTCAGCTGAGCAGTGAAGAGAAGCTCCAAATCATTTTGTTGCAGCACTGAACTCTCTCCTGCTTGCAGCCGACTCCTCCTTCCTGCAGCTCCCAGGATATCACGGACTGATTAAAGAGCACAAGGTTTGGAGGGAGCTCAGGCTCCCTATAACTGGCTCTCTCTCTCTCTCTCTCTCTCTCTCTCTCTCTCTCTCTCTCTCTCTCTCTCTCTCTCTCTCTCTCTCCCTCCCTCCTCCCTCCCTCCCTCCCTCCCTCCCTCCCTCCCTTTCCCTCCCCCCCCCTCTCCAGCTGAGCTGAAACCTACCTGACAACCTCTGCCTTTGAATCCAGCTCTGGGAACAGATGCATCATTTTATTGTCCTCCCAAGTGATGGCATCAAGCTAGAGATGCTCCTTGGGAGTGACCCACAGCATCCTGGCGTGGGGGCTTTGCAATCTGCCTGAGGAGTTTTCTGCTTCCTTGTCTGAAATTTGGTGGTAGGAGGAAGTTTCCCGTTGATTTATTTACTTAAAATATTGAAAAAGTTTGGTGCATTTTGGTGCCTGGAATGGATCCCCGTTTGAAGATATGGGTTGAGTCACATCTTCCTAACTGAGACATGTCTGACCATTTCCTGCCGGAGGAACACACGGAACATCTAGAGAAACTTGGCAGGAGAAATGCCACCTGATTTGCAACTCTCACGCTCTGAGAAAAATCATCAGACTCGTCCAAGAGGGGAATTAAGATATTAAGGACGATGGCTTTCCTTCTCAGCAACTTGACAAACGACTCTAACCTGTGGAAAGTAAGTCATAATTCTACGGACCTTGGGAGTTCGCCAGCAACTCTGACTCTCTCCCTCTTTTGCCTCATCTGTTTAATGACGCTCGCAGCTCTGGTGGGCAGCATTTTCTCACTGTTTTCCCTGCTGGCCGTGCAAAACAGGACTGTCGTGTCCATGCTTGTGGCTTCCTGGTCCGTGGATGACCTCCTGAGCGTCTTGTCAGTGGCCATCTTCATGTTTCTGCAGTGGCCAAAAGAGGCTCCAGGCTACTCCCAGTCTCTGTGCGCCACGTCTGCCTTGCTTTATGTATGCCAGGGCCTCTCCAGCAACTTGAAGGCGACTCTGATAGTCTCCTACAACTTTTATACGATGCGCAGGACAGTGGCCAGTCAGTCAGCCTCCTTGCGATCAGGGCAGGTGCTTGGTGCGGCATTGACCGTGTGGGCGGTCAGCCTGCTGCTGGCCGCGCTCCCGCTGTGTGGCTGGGGCTTCTTCGTGCGCACGCCCTGGGGCTGCCTAACGGACTGCTCCAGTCCCTACGTGCTGCTCCTCTTCGCGGTGTACGCTTCTGCCTTTGGGCTCCTGGCCGTTCTCTCCGTGCCTCTCACTCACCAGCTGCTGTGTTCCGCGGAGCCGCCGAGACTCCACGCCAACTACCAGGAAATTTCGCGTGGCGCCTCCACTCCTGGGACCCCTGCTGCTGGGGGAAGAGTACTCTGTCTGTCACCAGAGGATGTCGCGATCCCAGCTCTGCGATGTGCTGGGGGATGCTCCCCGAGCTCGGACTCGGTGTTTGCCCCAGGTCAGCCTGCTGCCTCCGGCTCTGGAGCCAGCAGGCGAGAGATTCCCGGGACTCCCCATGGCACCAGCAGCTTCCAAGTGAGCCTGGCACAGAAGCGCTTTGCTTTGATCCTAGCGCTGACGAAAGTCATCCTTTGGCTGCCCATGATGGTGAGTGCATTACCATGCGCGGGTGTGTGTGTGCTGAGCCCAGGCGCGGGTTTGGGGAGCCACCCCAAAGAGGCGGGGGTAAGTCCGCTCCTGAACGCATCTGTTGGAGCTGAAGACACGCCGGGGAGGAAAGCAGTTCACCTGGGGACTAGTTAGCTAACAAGCCTTGGCTACTTAGTATTTCTCAATCTAAGAAGGGCGGAGAGCCTTTTCGATTACAGGAGACCTGGTTTTCCTTGATGTTCTCTCTTCAGGCTAAATCTGGGCGTATTCAGAGAGAGAGAGGGAGGAACTAAAATGATTTTTCCTTCAACCTTCTCTAGCCTACCCAATTTTATCCCTTGTTTCCTCCTGCCTGGTGGGGACACCGCCCACATCCAACATCCATCACCAAGAGACAGAAAGGTGTGACCCCACTTGGGGCGGGGGGGGGCGGGAGGGAGAGAGGAAGAAAATTAGCTTTTGTTCCCGGCTTCCTGGAGTGAGGTGAGAGGAGAGGAGGAGCTCTCTCGCTGTGACCAGCACACCAGGGTGGGGACCTGGAAACAAGAAGCCACAGATCCTCTGAGTTTCCAGGACAGGTCCCACGGGTTCCTGCCCCCTTCCCTGCCTAGCATCTCTGGGTTATAGATTGCCTGCCTCCCGGGGTAGAGATTTCAGAGGGCAGCAGGTGCAGACCGAGCGCGTTGAGAAAGACCCAGGTGCACCGAGGTCTGTCTCGTGCATTCCCATGATCTTGCCGCCCAAGTGCCGGCACCGGGGGTGTAGCCCAGAAGCTGAGTTGCTGTCGTTCAAGAAAGAGGGGCTTGGACAGAAGGCTTCAGCGGAGCGAGGGCTGTGAGAGAGGCTTGGAAGGGGGAACGGCTCGAGTCTGAAGTTCTTTGCCTTTCAGATCCACATGGTGGTAAAACACGTGGTGGGGTTTCAGAGCCCTCCGGTCGATACGCTCAGCTTTCTACTGACCCTGCTGGCCAGCGTTGTAACCCCCGTGTTTGTCTTGTCCAAACGCTGGACCCACTTGCCCTGTGGCTGCATCATCAACTGCCAGCCAGACGCCTACTCCGTGGCTTTTGATGGGAAAAAGTGTAAGTCCTCCACGGGGACGGAGGGGGAACCTATGCCTACACTACACTACACTACACTACACTACAGCAAAGTGGCTTATGGAGAAAGCCACAGGGGTGGGGAGTGACGATTTTAGGACGGGGGGCCACATGGTAAACAACGAGAAGAAACGACAAAAGTTTAGCTTAGTGTTAGAGTTGGTTTTAAACAACCCTGAGAACTATTTATTTATTCGTGACTATTTTTTAGGTAAGAAAGGGGTGTGGAGGAAATCCATTCAACTCAGCCCTTTGATGTCAACACAGATCCTTATATGTTAGCTCCTTCCTTTTTTAGCCCAGAGTAGAAAAATCAATCCCTCTTCCTTCCCAAGCCTACATATGAGGAGCAGAATTGCTGAGCAGCTTGAGCTTGAAAAGCTGTACACTCCCCCAAAGAGCTTAAAACTCCCTCCCTGAGCTGTAATCCATTCTTATTCAGTAGAAAGGTAAAATAAAATAAAGGTGCTTTCATTATTTTGATGCTTATTTTCCCCTAAGATACTGGAAAAGTCTTGTAGTATGTAACTATCTTGCCTGAAAATAATTTCCCAGTAAATGTTCACATTGTTCCCAAACTGTCCAAAACACATTACACCCCTAATGCCTGTCAATAAGCAAAAATCCCCAAACTTAAAAGAGGATGGGGTTTTCTGGTTGTCCTTGTTTTGGTGCCCAAGATTCTACCCATGCTGTTCACTTTAAGAAGTTATTTATGTTGTTAGACGGGGGAAGGAGGGCAGTTGTTTCTGTGTTCATTCGGAGGCTGCAGGATTAGAGAGAGTAGTCCTGACCATATCACCATATCATCTGATTAAAAGAAACAGTATGATTCCTACTCCTCTCAACAAAAAGACAGCATGGATAGAAAACAGGACAAGACCTCAAATGGACTGTGTATTTTGATCTACTAAAAAATGAAAGGGCATTTTTGTCGTTCTAGATGAAAGACATACACTAGACTGAAAAAAAACCAGATGATTCCTTAGTGTGTGATCAGCTAACTTCTGCTAAATGTCCCTCGCACTGAATAAGCAAATATATTTTCTTTAACAGAGAACAAAGGTTAAATAAAAAGCCATTCATTTCAGACTATTTTAGGGTTGCAAAAACTAGAGAATATCAAAGAATTTTTCTGCAACCCAATGAACAACAAGGTTATTCTTATAAATATTAATTACTGGCCATTTTCATGTGTTGATTATATTAAATTGTTGACTATCTAGATATTTCCAACTGACAAATGTATTTCCATTGTTAAAATGTCATTGTTTTATTGGCAAAAGATGGCAAAATTATTTGTCTTTAAAGTAACTGTATAACATAACAATGATGTGTTTATAGAGATTAATAGCTAGAATTATAACCACAGAACCAACCGATAGTAAGTTATATGCACAATTTGCAAAGGCTTGTAGCAGTAAGAAATTATTTACAAGCTGGTTCTAACAGTTGACAAATGTTACTGCTATGTTATTACATTAGTGCAGTGATTCTTTCTTACAAAATTTAAGTAAGATTGTGAGGGAGGTAAGTTCATGCCAGCGGAAATGAAGTCTCAGTGAAGTGAGTTAGGCAAATGTATTTAAGAACTGAGAAGTAGCCATATCAGAACTAATTAATGTCAAAGCGATGTTACCAGCCTCTCATTCAAATTACCAGATAACCATTGCATCATCCACACTATTGCATGCTGGGAGAGTCCACAGCCAGGTTAGCTGAATCTCACGTTAGCACTGGATATGAAAAAAAAAAACAGGCCTTTCAAGACCAAAATAATCACTTTCCCCTAAAATCACTATCACTTTTGTTAACATTTATTTTAAAATTCCTAAAGAAAAGAAAAAGTTAGCTTTGAAGGCATGGGACATGTTTTCTTTTCACATGTGTAGTGCGCATGTGTGTATGCAAACATGTTCTTCACATGTGTTTGCAGGTACACGTACACATGTGTGCTCATGAAAGCCCAAGGTTGATATCTGGAGCAGACCTTGTTTTCTCTCCCCCCGTTTTTTTCAGTTAGGCAAGGTCTTTTCAGTCAAACCCAGAATTCGCCAATGCAGCTACTGCTAGTCAGACTGATGCCTGTCTCTGCTCCCAGATAAGCCTCCACAAACACCCACCATTTGTGCTTGAAGTGGTTTCTGAGGTTCTGAACTCTGGTCCTCTTGCTCTGTGCCAAATGCTTTAACTGCTGAGCCGTCATCTCCTTAAATCCCGAAGGAGGCTTACTTAAAAAAGAGAAAAGAAGAAAAGGAGTGGTTTTAAAAACAAAACCTTTCACTACTCTCCCCCCTCTATCCTGCTCCCAATCCATTCCCACTTGCCTTCAGTTTACCTAGGAGATCTCTTCTATTTCTTCTTCGCAGGGAAATACATGAGTCACTTTTTTGGACCCTCTTTGCTATCTAGCTTCTCTGGAGCTGTGGATTATATCTTGGTTATCCTTTACTTTATAGCTAATACCCATTTATGAGTGGGTACATACCATGTTTGTGTTTCTGGATCCGAGTTACCTCACTCAGGATAATTTTTTCTACTTCCCTCTATTTGCCTGCAAATTTCGTGATGCTATTTTTTTTCAACAGTTAATACTCCATTGTGTAACGTACTACATTTTCTTTGTCAGTTCTTCTGTAGAGAGGTATCTAGGTTGTTTCCAGTTTCTAGCTATTATGGATAGAATAGGTATGAATTTGGTTGCGCAAGTGTCCCTGTGGTAGGATACAGTATCCTTTGGGTATATGCCTAAGAATTGTATAGCTGGGTGTTGAGGTAGATTGATTCCCAGTTTTCTGAGAAATTGCCATATTGATTTCCAAAGTAGCTGTACAAATTTGCACTCCCACCAGCAGTGGAGGAGTGTTCCACTTACTCCACATCCTCTCCAACATAAGTTGTCATTCGTGTTTTTGATCTTAGCCATTCTGACAGGTGTAAGATGGTATCTCAGAGCCATTTTGATTTTCATTTCTCTGATGGCTAAGGATGTTGAGCACTTTCTTAAGTGTCTTTTGGCCATTTGAGACTCCTCTGTTTAGGTCTGTACCCCATTTTTAAATTGAGTTATTTGGGATTTTGATGTCAAGTTTCTTGAGTTCTTTATATATTTTGGAGATCAACCCTCTGTCAGATGTTGGTGAAGGTCTTTTCCCATTCTGTGGTCTGCCATTTTGTCTTATTGTCAGTGTCCTTTGTCTTACAGAAGCTTCTCAGTTTCATGAGATCTAGTAGCGCAGACACTGAAATGAGCAGTTAATAACCGGGGGTCTCACGAAGTTGTCTCCTGTGTCTGAGTCTGCTTCCCACCTTCTCTTCTAATGAGGTTCAACTCCCATGAATCTACAAGGAAGACCCCAGCTACTCCTAGCAATATTGAATAGGTAGCTTGAACTGGTTCTCTCTTGTAATGATATTGATGACTACCCTAAATGTCAATCAGAGACCCTTCATTCAGTGACTGATGGAAACAATGCAGAGACCCACAGCCAAGCACAGGGTCTCCGAAGAGAAGAGGAAGGATTGTACAACTGGAGGCTGGGGGGCATCAACATCATCACAGGGGATCCCACATAGACAACTAACCTGGGCTCATAGGAGGTCACAGATACTGGACCAAAAGCTAGGAAGCCAGCATGGGACTAACCTAGGCCTCTACATCTGTGTGGTAGCGGTATAGATTGGTTTACCTGTGGGATTCCTAACATGGGAAGTGGGGCCTGTCCCTGATGCTTTGGCAGGCTTTAGAAAACCTATTCCTCATACTAGGTTGCCTTACCAAGTCTTAATACGAGGGGAGGAACTCAGTCCTACCTCAATTTATTATGCCAGGCTTTGTTGACACCATGGGAGGCCTACCCCTTTCTGAACAGAAACAGAGGAGGAGTGGATTAGGATAGGGGGCAGAGGGAAGGTGGGGGAAGAAACGGAGGGAGAGGCGAGAGGGGAAACTGCCATGGAGATTTAAAATAAATCAATAGATTTAATTTAGAAAAAAAATGTAAAAGCAAACCCCAAAATGTTGCTAGAGAAATACTGATTTAGACACTTACGGGTCAAATAACTCCATTCCCTTTTGCAATCCAGATGATGCCAAAGGGAATTTAGTAAGAATGTGTACTTGTGGTAGAAAGCTCCACAACGGAGTTTTCATTGCTAGGAGTTCTGGGCCCCTCAACGTGGCTTCTATTCTGGCAGAACAGGTGTGGGCCAGATAGATGAACTCATTAGAAGTTTCACATTTAATTATTTGCTCTTAACAAAGGAAAACGCTCTTCTGTTTTACATTCTTTGTCACAGAACTCCAGGGGCAAGGAAGGAAAATGCTTCTTTCATTAACCCAAGGACACTAAAGATACTCTCATATTGAAATATGAGAAGATATAAGCGTATGTCTATTTCACCAAATGGCGACAGAAAGACAAGCAGCCAGGGGTTAATTAGCAGAAACAAAGATTCCCTTCTGTTTTGGAAAGGATTGTTTTTTTTTTTATATATTATCTCAGAACAAAAGTTTTTATGTCAATTTTAACATAGCAGTTTCACATAGTGTAGATACGATTTTCAAGCTCATGTTTTTGTATGTCATATTTTCAGCTTATTTTTGTCACAGAATCAGAGTGCCTGGTGATATATGTGAAAATTATTTTATAAGCTAATGCAATTATTGTAAAATTTTAGTTGGCAAGAGATGAGTGGTATATGCTTGGTCCAGGGTTTGAAAACAGCAAAGCTGCTCTTTTACAGATTTCTCAAAGTATCAGACTGTATTCGTTTGATCTTGAAATTTCTTGCAAGTTATTAATCAATCAAAGCTTCTCTATTCAAAAGCTTTAAAACATGGTTGCATTGTGTGTATGCAGTGTGTGTGTATGTGCGCATGTGTATGCATGCATGCGTGTGTGTGTGTGTGTGTGTGTGTGTGTGTGTGTGTGCGCGCGCGCGCGCCTTGGTGTGCATTTGGAGGTCAGAGGACAACTTTGTGCATTTTGCTCTTTCCTTCCATCTTTGCATGTGATCCGGGAATCTGAGTGCCATTACGTTACCCGCTGAGCCATCTCACTAGTCTTCTGTTAAGAAACGTTTATAAGCAACTCATGTACATTTAGTATATCCATTATATCAGGAACCAAGCATTCCTGTCCTCTCCAGCATGGTTTCTACACGTTGCCCCCCCCACCCCACACACTCCCCCACAGTAACTTGTCAAGGAAGTGCTTGTGATGCTTGTAGCACTGTGCTGCATGCTGAGTAAGGGACAGAAGTCCCTAGTTAATGACCTCTGAGCTAGGTTTGGGTCGAAAGCATGGCTTTTCAAATATGGTAATTTTTATTAATTCTTTGAGAATCTCATACAATATGTCTTTATCATATTTCCCCCACTCATTCCTCTTAGATCTAACCCCACCTTCATAACCTCCCTCAACTTAACGCCCTTTATTTTCTAAATAGTCCATTGAGTCCAAGTTGTGCTTCCCGTATACTCCTGAGTGTAGGGCCGTCCTCTTGGTCATGGGTGACCTACCAGGGACCACATCCTTAAAGAAAATTAACTCTCTCTCTCCTTGAGAAGCCATCAGCCGAAACATAACTTTTGATCTGTCTTTAACAGTTAAAAAGCAATTTTAGTTAAGTGCCAGAATCTTAAGATCATGATATTATTTATCAAATATGTGTATCTGACTTGATCTTGAAAATTATAAGTAGCTGGCTGTGCTGCTCCCCAACAAATGGCCAGAACTGAGGAGCCCTAATGAGATTCAGAGTGTTCCCATTATCTATACTACACTAGACTGTCAATTGTTACTGTTACCTATCTGACTCCTATAGACATTCAACTTTTTCTACCCATTATTCATAATTTTGTAGTTTGATTGTAAACCTAGCCTTTAACAGCTGACCCATCTCTCCAGCCCCCATTATGCATAATTTTAAAAAGACGTAATTTTTTTGTGCTTAAGGAAACTGAAGGTAATAGATTTGCTAACATTTCTGTCAGCATAATTTCGATCATTAACTGTTTCTGCGTGTGTGTGTGTGTGTGTGTGTGTGTGTCTCCTGTGTTCGTGTGAAGATGTGAGTGTGATAGTCTGTGTATGAGCATGTAGAAGCCAGAGGTTGACTTATGATGTCTTATTTTTGCTTTCTATTTTACATTTTGAGGCAAAGTCTCTCACTGGACCGAGAGATCACCTGGTTATCCAGGAAACTCCGCAGATAACAACTCCAGTGCTGGAGTTATAGACAAGCATCACTGGTGCCCAGCAAGCACCAGGATCTGAGCTCAGCTCCTAATACTTAAGCAGCAAGCGGTTTACCCACAAACCATCTCTCCAGCCCCTTGATTACTGGTTTTAACTCAAACACTGTCAACTGTCTAGTATTCCATCAGTTACCTCAGGGAGGGTTTACCATCAGTGTTAAGGAAAGACATTAAAAACGAAAATTCAGTAATTGCAGGAAAACTTTTTTCTTGGTTTTAATGCGTGTACAGGTGTACAGACAGACTCTGACCTAGAAATGTCGTGCCATGCCTTTCTGCTTCCATTACTTCATGTGGAGTAAATCACTTGAATTCTGTAGCCAGAGAATTTTAAATTTAAATCACTTTGTAAGATGAGTACGCAAAGGCAGTTTTCCCTATTGATCTCAGTTATCTCTACAAACGAGGATGGATACCGTTTCTATTATGTAGATGTACCATGAAACAACATAGCCGATCTATTGCCTCATAATGACTTTGGCCACCTTCATTTCCTGTGTGTGTGATATGTGATTGTGTGTGTGGGAGTATGGAGGTAAGACAATGACTTTTGGGAGACAGTTCTACTACTACTTGAGTGAGGGCTACAGCACAGGTCATCTGACTTGAATGGCAAACATATATTTAGTGAGTGAGCCATTTCTTTTTTTCTCTCTCTCTTCCTTTTTTATTGTTATTTAAGTAAGAAACAAGCTTGTTTTGCATGTAAATCCCGGCTCTCTCCTCCTCCCCTCCCACCCTGTCCTCCCCACCAGAGTGAGCCATTTCTTGTCACCTCACACTTCCTTGTATGCTCCTGACCTGGAAACAGATATTCCAATAGCACATTCAGATCATGCCTTTAAAAGTGTTACACATTTTTTTACTCTCCGTACGTCAGTTACAATACGCAGCTAACACTATGCAGTCAAGCACTAATCATAAAACTGGTGTTTTATGAGCACCCTTATTTTCTGAGCAGTTCTAGATTGCAAGTTTGCCACTTTGTATATCTTTTGGATAAGGGGAACTGATCGATAATCATGTCATCCTTGAAGTCCCTCAGCTTTCAGCCTCAAAGTTGCTTAAAAGTTATAATTTAACTTTACTGGAACATCTTACTGGAAAAGTATAGCTATAAATGTCACAGTATCCAGGATATAATCATCTGCTTCCACCTTTCCATTTTTTGACACAAGTTTTTCTAACTCATGTTTTGACTCACACAAAAATGAATGATACTGATAAATTCTATTTTTCAGGAAGTAGAACTGGGCTGTAAATCTTTGGCTCTGGGAACATTTCAGTAATAGAATGAGCATGTGAATGCCACTAGGGTGTGTTGAAAAGTGAATCAAAATTTATGTATTATTCCCATAAAAATTTTACAGCCTTTCATAATTTTTTTCCACCAAAGATAGCTAAGTGCCTAACTATAAAGCATTGAGCTATCAAAATAGAAAGTTTTCTTAAAACAAACCATGTTTCAAAAGGTTAAAAATAAAGCATTCAACTGCATTTAGTACCACTTTGATATAGCTTGATTCTTAATACTTGAAAATCGTCTGTTATTGACTGACACTCGTACACAAAAATTGTATCACTTTCTGCCACACTGTCTTCCAAGACTTTGAGCCGTGCACACTAATTAATAGTGCGATATTTGGAATACCTGCTCTTTGACTGCTTAAATAATGAAATGTATACGTCCTTGCTAAACTTGCCTTGTAGTTATTCAGATTTATAAATATCTTATTTTTGCATTCATTTTTAAAACAGATGCATTCTGAGTTTATTTGTATAAGGAATGTACACATTGCTAAGTGTGGTGACTCACACCTGTAGCCCCAGAATTGAGACATAAAGGTAAAGATTTCAAGGCCAGCCTGTGATACCTGAAAAAATCTCAACACCAGACTCAGTGACAATTGGAGAGAGATTTATTCATTTATTTATTTATCTGGAGTTTACAAGCTCCATGGCAAACCGTGGACTAATTTTCAATGGGTGCCTTTGCAGACATCAATGCTGGAAGTAGCATAGATAAAAATTCTTGAAGTGATTATATCTTCATAGTAGTTCATAATATAAAGTCAGTTTTGTAATGAATTTCTAGGACAGTGGCATATAGTGCTTTCCAAAGTAAAGAAATTTATAGAATGAGTGAAATGAGGGCTGAAGAGGTGGCCCGGTGGTTAAGAGCACTGGCACTTCTTAGAGGACCTGGGTTCAATCCCCAGCACCCACGTGACAGCTCACAACTGTCACTCCAGTTCCTGGGGATCTGGCACCCTCACACCAATGTACATAAAGTAAATTTAAATAGATTATCTTATAAAATGGCGAACTGAAAAAAACTGAGTATATTTGAGAGTTTTCTTAGTTACAGTTAAGTTTTAGTTGTGTGAAATTACCTTAAAGGCTGAGTCTTTTAGAGAGCTGCTTTTCAAGACACTCACAATGTAAGAGACACTGAGCTGAGAGTAATAAGACAATTGAATTTTGTAAGACACATGGCTTTGCATGCGTTACAATAAGCAACTGAAGATATGTTAACTCCAGGTAATCAGGTAAACGCAGTGCCTATCCATACTCGCTATTTACATCCAGTGCTGTTTTGCTGTTCATATCTTCCGGACTAACTGTGGAATTCTGTTATTTTCATTCAGCAAAGAGGAAAGGCTTTGAATTCAATCTGTCATTCCAACAAGGTTATGGAATCTATAAAATATCACACGCAGATTACTATGAGGATGATGAAAATGCCATCTCCTACCACAACCTGAAGAACTCTGAGTGTGAAGCTACAAAGGAGCCTGGGGGAGACAACCGCAGCGTCTTCAATGCCATCACGGTAGAAATCAGCACCGCGCCTCCTTTGGACAGCGGCACGCTGCTGTCGGGCATCAACAAGTGCACCAATACAGACATCCCCGAGCCCAGACAAGGCTTCAGCGAGGAAAAGAGTGCTTTTCCTGTTAAAACAGAAAGCGAAATTAACTGTGAAGAAACCACCTCGTTTGAAGGTCCAGAGAGACGGCTGTCTCATGAGGAGAGTCACAAGCCAGAGCTTTCAGACTGGGAGTGGTGCAGGAGTAAGTCAGAACGAACACCGCGCCAGGTAAGGTGAAGGCTGCTCTACCTTGCAAATTAAAAGTCAACCTAAACAAGAGCCCTATGAAAAGATGATGAGTTTATCCCTTCATTGAGTCAAACCCAAGGGTGATTTCTCTTGTCTCCATTGCTTTCCACGGTATCTCATTTTTCACTGCAAGGCCTTTGAAATACCCCCATTTATTTACTTTTCCTTAGTCTTACATTGCCAATCAAAAATCTATATAATTTGGAGTCAGTGGGCATCCATGGAGTCTTTGAGAAGTATAAGGCGTTTTATTTTAACCTCAGGTAATCTGCTTAAATCCAGACTGTATTCCAGAGCTCAAGCTCCTACGTCCGTTGGTTAAATTAGTTTAACATGAGTATTTTAATTTTTCACACACAATCAAGCATGTGACTTATTTCAGGATGCATTCTTGTGAGCCATTCCAACCCTTGACAAATGTCCCATTTCTTTACGTATGAAAAGTATGGTTTGATGACGGTTTAAAAACTGAAACAAATTGCATGAGAGTGTCCTTCCACTTCCTGTTGACCCCTGCCTTCTGTGAGAGGTGAGGAGTCTTTGCTAATGTTTCATAATGTTTCAGCGTTATATTGACATGAGCTTGAGGGTACTAAATCCTCATATTTGATAGTTACCCTTGCTTGAGGGGGGCTTAAAGTTACTGGGGAGAAGGAAGCTTCTTCTGCATTATGTGATGGAAATCTTTCTTATTTTGTTTTGTTTTGTTTTTGTTTTTGTTTTGTTTTGTTTTGTTTTTTTGGTTTTTCAAGACAGGATTTCTCTGTGGCTTTGGAGGCTGTCCTGGCACTCACTCTTGTAGACCAGGCTGGTCTCGAACTCACAGAGATCCACTTGCCTCTGCCTCCCGAGTGCTGGGGTTAAAGGGGTGCGCCACCACCGCCCAGCGTGATGGAAATCTTAACACTTGTCTTAATCTCTGGCATCAAAACCTGAACTCCAGGAGCGTTCTGCTAGGATTGATGCATTCACCGATTAAATGCATCCCCACACAGCACAAGAATGAATGTGTGTTTTCATGTGTGAATAATATATTTTCCTATCATCATTCTCATATCACTCTTTACAAAGTAGTAGACTACCAAAATGAGAATATGAAACATTTGGGGAAAATATGCACATTGCTTTAGAAGTTAGGAATCTCAGAAAAAGTTCAATATCTGCCGCAAATTTAATAATGCAAAAAGAGAGGGTCAGAGTACAAAATACTCCACATTCTAAGAACACTAAGACTCACTGGTTAACGGGGAACCCCTCACTCATCATCATGTTGCTTCTGGATCACATGAACCTTTGGTTTTTCTTGAACTTAAAATTCAGCAATTCTCATGACTAAGTGTGTGTGTGTGTGTGTGTGTGTGTGTGTGTGTGTGTGTGTGTGTGTAGAACCTACCTCGTGTGTTCTCCTGTTACCCTATCTGCCAGCTTGACCCTTAAAGACTGGTGTCTCTGCACTGTTTTGTTTTTGTTGTCAAATTGACACAACTCAGAGTCACCTGGAAAGGAGGGGCCTGACCTGAAGAATTTCCTGGATTACAATGGCTTGTGGTTGTGTCTGTATGGTCACTTTCTTGATTGATAATTGATGTAGGAAAGTCCAGCCCACTGTGGGCAGCACCATCTATAGGCAGATGATCCCAGCTTTGGTAAGAAAGGTAGCTAAACATGAACCAAAGAATAGGATGTAAGCAATATTCTTCTATGGTTTTTGCTTCAACTCCTGCTTACGTGTCTATTCTGTCTTGTAATGAATGTTACCTAGAAGTGGAAGCCAAATAAACCCTTTCCTTCCCAGGTTTTGGGTTATCACAAGAGAAAAAGCATATTATAACAAACCTGCCACAAATGTGTCTTTCCGATACAATATGGTATTTATTTTTCTAAGTTTAAGTTTCTCAAGACAATATGGCATTGCGTATGATTTTCTGAGAGTTTATTTTCAGCAAACATTAAATTATTTACTTTTTCTAAATTACATGTTGTCAAAAATATTAAGAATTATCTCAGATATCGCAATTTACAGCCATCATTTTCAAAATTTTGTTGTAGGAACTTCAAGTGTCTAACTACATCTAGAAAAAAATGAAAGACCTAATCTGTTTGCACGTATATTCCTGCTAATGGCACTCTTTAAAAAAAAAGTAAAATTACAAGTGGAAATTCGATCAGTCTAGGTAGCTTTCAGTCATAAAAACTTTCTGATTGCATACTAACATTTTGACATCTGTAACAAGCAAGTGCCTTAAGAAATTTATGTAAAATGAGGACAGTGAGAAAGATGATTGATGGTAAAGTAAGTGGGTGATACAAGGCTTAAAGCAGGTAAAAACTTACAAGAAGCCAGTTGACATCAAGTACAATATTGTCAAACTTTAAAATAAAAGGAAATACTCATGCTGCAGATGGATGTGTTGGTATGACCTTATACTCACAAAATAATTTATGATGTTCAGGATTAGCATTAGGTAAAATATTCATTTTTTAATTTTGTAAAGTGTTTTAAATATTTTTATTCCAGCTATCAACAAAATACAACTGGAGCAGGAGGGCTTATCAGAACTTTTCCTAAGACCGGAACATAAGTTTTCTATTTTACATCTTACTACTAATATCACATGGATGTAGGTGTTGACATTTCCATTTTTAACCTTTTCTTCCAAGTAGCTTCCTTTCTTTGAAAACAGTGGTAACTTAATAGTTTACAGAGTAATGTACTGAGATTTAGAAGACACTGCAGTTGCTATATGAGAACCTTACCTATTGAAACATTTAGACTCGGTTTATCAAATGGCACTATGTTGAATAGTGTCTGTTTGTTGAGATTTTTTTGTTTTTGGTTTTATGAGACAGGGTTTCTCTGTATTGTTTTGGAGGCTGTTGGACCAGCCCGGCCTCGAACTCACAGAGATCCGCCTGCCTCTGCCTCCCGAGTGCTGGGATTAAAGGCATGCACCACCACCACCCGGCTTGTTTGTTGAGATTTTAAGTACAGTAGATTTGATTTAAAATATATTTCATGATCTCCAGGTTTCTCTTATGACTTGTTTAATTTTTTTCTTTTAATTTATTTTTTTATTTTTAAGTTTAAATTTGGATTAGAAACAAGGTTGCTTCACAAGTCAGTTCCAGGTCCCTCTCCATTTCTCTCCCCTCCTCCCGTGTCCTCCCCCCCCAATATCCCCTCATTTCCCCAGGGAGGGTGAGGCCCTCCATGGGGGTGTCCATAGTCTGTCATTTCATCCAGTGCAGGGCTTAGGCCCTCCCCCAAGAGTTCAGGGTGAGAGTGCATCTCACATTGTTGGATGGGAGTCCAAAGTCCATGTGAATACTCGGGATAAACACTGATCTACTGCCCAAGGCTCAATAGATTACCTAGGCCTCCTCACTGACACCCACATTCAGGGGGTCTTGATCAGTCCCATGCTGGATTCTCAGGCATCAGTCTGTGATTCAAGAGCTTTACCTTGTCAGGTCAGCTGTTTCTGGGAGTTAAACCAGCCCAGTCTTAATCCCTTTGGTCATCAGTCCTCCCTCTCTGTTACTGGCTTTCTTGAGTTCAGCTCAGTACTTAGCCGTGGGAGTCTGCCTCTGCTTCCATCAGCCACTGAATGAAGGTTCTGTTTCCCAGACTCTCTGGCCATGGGATTGTAGGCTGGCACTCCCCAGATCTAATGCTAGTGTTTACGCTAGTAAGTGAATTTTCAGTATATTCTGTTAGAACTTCAAAGCATGGTAGTTAGGATAGATCTAGTAGATTTAAATACTATTGAATGTAAGCTATAAATTGTGGATATTTGTAAGACTGAAATTAGTGTTAAACCTGAGTAAAATGTTGCTTCTTGTTGGGCTTCCGTGTAAATCCCATTTATGAATTATGAAAGTTGAATGTGAAATCAGTGTCATCTCCCTAAACACTAAACTCTTAAAATTATCCATGGTTCCACTTTTCTTTTGTTCTGGTATTTTCTTTTTAGGGTTCTATACTCACTCATTTGCTCTTATAAACCAGAAACAACGGTATCCTACATGTCTAATATGTTCACCAGAGTGTTTTTTCTTAGGCCAGGAAAGTACAGAAAATGCATTCTGAAACAATCTACCAAGGATGTAGGAGAAAGGAAGGATTACTAGTGTTTGATTTTTTACCACACAACCACATAACCTTAGGGCAAGTAAAGCCGGCAAGTACTTATTTTTTTTATTGTATTTTATTTTATTATTTTATTTGTTTATTCATTCATTCATTCTCACGGGGCATGAGTAGGTTGTGCAGTATCTCAGAAGAGCCGAGTAACCCGCATTCCACCCCCTTGTCCCTGCCAGTCTCCACCAACCGGTCTTTTCTCTGCACAAGCTTGCTCTGGGCATTGCCTGTCCCCCGGGTCTCCCGGTGTTCTTCCCGGTCTGGTCCTCTCCCTGACTCCACACTCCGGTAGGGGCATACAGCAGCGCTCAGGGCTCATAAGGCTAGCTGGGGCCTCTCCCTGACTGCACCTCAAATTCTGGGAAGACGTATGCCAAGGACGGGGACAGGAGAGGAGGTGCATTGGTCCACAGGGGGTCTGTGAGGCTGGTGGCCAATGCCTTCCGTCTGCAGAAACCAAAACCCAGGGAGCCAGGAATGTGTTTGCAGGGGATGCAAACACTTCAGGCCCTATGGAAGGAGGTCTTGCCTCGTGCGGTCGGATGGCTGACTCAGGGCTCGCCCTGAGAAGCCTCCCATCTGGAGGTTCTATAGAAAGGCTCCCTGTCTAGTGTGGGCCGTGCAACCCTCTGCACCCAGCCTGAGGGCAGAGGCGAGACTCTGCCATCCGTGGTCCCCAGTGAGATGAAGTACACACTTGCTTCCCCGCGCCTGAGGAAAGATGCAAGTCTCTGACTTTCAAGGTCCCCAGTCTGCAGGGGAGGCCCAGCTGCTTCTCCGTGCTCCTGTCTGCGGAAGGCCTGACAGACTCGACTGCAAAGTGCTCCCCTGCCCC